ATAAGAGCATCAGAGGGAGAAAGTGGTTTAGAGCTGGTTAGATTTTAACAGGAGAGGAAAACAAGGGATTGCATGGAGTTGTGACAATGAGATGGTAGAGTGTATGTGGTAGGTTGAGACTGCAGAGAGAAAATGTCTGGCACGAAATTTGGAAAGCAGATGTACAAGAATGACCGCAGACCCATCTGAGAGCTGTCTATGTCTTTTCAACAGTTTATCTGCAGCACGATAGCCAATGTCAACGAAGATGGGCAACTGACTACGTTAAGAAAATGCTGCCTAGTAGCTCGTTTTATTGTGTTAGAGTTGGCAGAAGCCCAAAGCTGGTAGCGCTATAAGACACGATGAAATATGAAAAGACCTGGCAGGCAGTGTAGATAAAACAAGACTGAGGATAACTGGGACTACAGGCCTGATTTAATGAATCTAGTATGTAGAAGGAAAGAGCCAGACAACAGCAAGAAGGGAACCTGATGACGAGTGGCACTGGAGAACAATATAATGTGTAGAAGTTGCTTCGGTGTGCTGTGGGCAAGCAAATAGTTATGAAAACACCAATCATTAGGAAAGCTGTTTAAGGAATTAATAAACAAGAATGTGTTTTGAACCCCAGTGATCACTGGCAACTGGATTCTTCTTACCTAATTTCACTCATTTAAGAATTAATTGTCTATCCTAAAATAGCTACCCTAGCTCCCTCTCACGTTAATGGAGACAACAGATAACTTGAGATACCCATTAGAGATTCAACCTATCTAAAAATTATTCTATTTGACAGCTTGAGTTGCCCCTTGGACATGCATATGTCTCCTTGTCTATGTCTCTCTGTCTCTACAGGAAATCTAGTTAACTAGCTTCCACCAGATACCTAACTGCTCGGTGATTAAGTTAAGCAAGGTGAATCCTTTCCTAAATTTCATAGGACTCCAATTCATGGTTCAAGTTCCTTTGTCAGCTGTGTTGTTGTGTTAACAAGTGTTGTTAAAGATATGAAAGAACACCTTAAAACAAGGTTTTCAAATCTGATAGCAAATGACAGTGCTAACAAGTTGTTACAAGCAGCTCATCTGTTCTTGAAAAAAAAGGTGCATTTAGCCATGCAACCTGGATTTTGACAAAATCCCTCCTGGAAGGCATGGAGGAAGTGCAGAAGTTAAGGTTACAAGGTAGTCTTCTATGATGAGATATAAACAGCTTAAAAAAGCAAGAAACATAAAATTAGGGAATAAATTGTCCTTTTTTCAAGAAAGGAGACTACAAGTAGAGATTAAAGGACTTACAGCAAATTTTTTTAATGGTTTTAGCAAGCAGCAAGAAAAGATGGTGAACAATGGTTGAATCAGCAGGAGGAACACATGAATTTCTTAAGTTAGTACAGAATACCATGAACAACTTACGGATCCTGTTTACAAAATGCCGGGGGAGCATTATGACAGATGAAATACAGAGTAGATAGGTGCAAAGTAATTCACATTAAATGGAACCATTTTAGTGACTCACATGGTAACAATCAGGGAAGCAAAGATGTATCATGGTGGATACATCTGCTTATTGAAAAACCTGCTCAATGAGCAGAGACAGTTAGAAAAAAGCAGGATGTTAGGCTGTATTGTGATAAAGACAGAAAATAATGCTGAAAATATTATAATGTTATTATGTAAACCAGTGATGTATCCTCACTGTGATCATGGCATTCAGTTCTGATCACAAAATCTCAAAGAGATTAGTGTGGAAATTGAAATGGTTAGGAGATGGGCAGTAAAAATCATTAAAGGCAAAGAAAAACTTGTTTATGAACAGAGATAAGAAGGACACAGACTACAACAGGAGTGGAAACAGCTGCCTGCTTTAGAAAGCCATTACAATTTCTAGGAGAATTCTGGGTGTGTGCATAGATGCTGCTGCTTAGATTAGCAAAATCTTGGAAAACAGTGAAAACACTGAAGCTTCAACTACTCAGTGTAATTTAAAGAGGAACAATCCCTACTGTGGGTAGTTTAAAGAACACAAATCAGAAACATCTATTTATTCTTAAAAACAAGAGGAATAGGATTACAATGGAATTGCTTGTGCACATTGAAGAGCAACCTATTTACAACACAGGAAAAGAAGCACTGCTTTATGCTACATGTAAGTAATCTATGAACTCATTTCCATGAAGAGACATTGAGGTTTTAGTCTGTCAGGTTTGAAAAAGTTGTATGAATAAATAACGCCTGTAGTCTACCTAAGTAAAGCTGACTAAAAGCAGTATCTGAGGCATTTAAGTCTTCAGTCTTCAGGCAAAAAGTAAGCACTAGCATGCATTACTTAGCAACTGAAACAGGCTACACGAGTTCAATTATTGTGACTCAGCTAACAAGCAGCAGCTTACTATCATTGCTTGCAATCACCTCTCTTTCTCCTGCAGTACTTAGTTTCCAAGGAAATGACAAGTTGAAAGTTAAACTAGGATCATCTGCAACTGGAACATTTTACTACGTTATTTATTTCCTCATTTATTTCTTCATGACATTCTCAAAACTTTCCCCAAACTTATCTTGTACTCTTCTTTCCCCCGTCTGAAGCTTCTTTCATCAAGTTACAAGACGCCAAATGCCGTGTGACACCATTTTCAAAAATATTTTGAATTCCTGCT